CATATACAATATAGTTCACATTCGAATTGAGACATGAAGTTTAGTCAGGTAGGCAATACTCACCAAGTAAAGTAGTGTGGTAGTATTTATTAGAATTTTGTTTATTATTTGTTTAAAAATCAATGTGACTGAGATACAGGCTCTTAAAGCTTTCTTAATTGAAGGAAGTTCCAGTAGGTAAGGCCCTGGCTTCAGCTTTCCGTCAGCTCTTCCCTCCAAACATCGTTTGTCCTAAAAGGTATCCTCCTAACATTATTTCAATATATCAACCCACCTTCGACAGGTAGAGGCATTAAAAAAATTCGAGTCTGTCATAAATCTACCTAACTAAACAATGTCGTCATCAATGCATATTTGGCGAGAGCAGCTGACGAAGGTCTGCAGTTTGGGCCGTACCAACCGGAATTTCCTCTGATTAAGAGAACTTTAGGAGCATGTATCTCAAGCTACATTGGTTTCCGCATGAAATTAATACTACCACACTATTCTATTTGGTGAGTACTACCAGAGAAGGTACTACTTACCTGATTTAACTTCACGTCCCAACTCGTCTGTCAACTAATACAATGACCAAAATAACAAATAACAAAATTAGAAAACAGTTTTCAAAATCAGTTCACAATCAGCAAAGAAATAGCGAAACATACACAAAAAATAGTTCATTAGTTAAATTTAAACAATCCTACCTTTTGATCCAATTTGCTTGTGTCTATACTGGTCACAGCCCTATTTTACACCATGAAATTGTTCCAACCTACAAAGTTCACATCAGGTCCTAATACAACAGTGACTTATATAAGTACCATTTTCTGAAAAATACAAAAAACAAAATGTGAACCTACGTTATAATAAAAACTCACATATAAACACAATTTATTATTAAAGTTTAAATCAGAGGATTGATTATTTACATCTGGTGCCCATAAACGTACGTCTCAACGAAAGTAACTTCTGATCTTCTCAATGGTTTCTCATTTGACGTGTATATGCCATAGATAAAATAATTACATAAAGAGTATCTCCTGTATGGACCGACCGTTTTTAATTTTTTTTTAAATGTTGGACCATGTGTGGACGCTTGGAAATTTATTTTATTGGTGATGTCGGCAGTGAAGGAAGTCATAACAACGTTACAACATAAAGATACTTTTTGTCCGGAAAGCCGCTATCCTATTTGGTGGCACGAGTTCAATTCCTAACCGGTGTATCGCCTTTTTCATCTTTAAATTTGTTTATATATTTAAAGAAAATGTGCTAATTTCCAAAACACCTGAAACAGTTTCGACGGGGTCTGTGGAGGTTCTAAAAACTGATTCAGGTTAATAATTCTGGGTGCTCGATCAATTACAAATTGTTTGTGAATACTGAATATGCAAAGGATAATGTTTGAAAGCGCTCATTTTTTGAGAAAAAATGAAAAATAGATTTAATTGTTCAATACACTATGTACGTAAAACCGAAAATAACAACCTGGTGTTGTCATTTTCATTGTCAGGCTATTTACTCTGAAAGGCTTTAAATAATTTTGTTTTTCCACTAAGAACAAACATTCACAAACATTTTCTTTTTAATATTCAAAATTCACGGACGGTTTCCAATCGAACGAGTACCAGGAGTTTATTTTACAATCAATTAATTACCCACAAAAAATCTTTTGTTAGGAACATTCAAAAACGATTGACATGGGTGAATGTTCAAAAATTCGACCTTTTTTTTTTCAATTGACAATTATACACAACTGAGAACACTAAACTAATAAATAAATTATGCGTGCAAAAAAATATCGTACTTTCAATCCTCAATTGAACTTTGTAAGTTATTTCAAGCCGCATTTTAGTAACAAATAAAATTAAAAGTATCAGTTAAGTTCTTTTAATAAGTCACTAATACAAAAACATTTCAGTTTATTTATTATTTCATAATAAAATTTTATTACAATCACAAATTCATGTTGTTATGAAGACTTAAAAGTTTGGGTCCTATACGTGTAAGAGAAATGTTTTTTGTTGCAATTAATACAAAAATAAACACAGTGACTATGTTGTTGTCAGCTTAAAATTAAAAATTATATAAAAATAAATAAACACTTACCTAGGTATAAATAATATATAATTTGCAACATTTATTAAAAATAATAATAATAATTAGTAATTATCAAAGGCTAAATATACTTTGAGACGATAAAGAGTGATTTTCATTTTCTATGTTTTAATAATTACTTATTACTATTTTACATGGGATGGAGGGTCTCTGATCTCTGCTCTGCAGCAAAACCACAAACACTTGTTTGGGGATCATTTATCGAGTAAAATTCATTCAAAACAGGTCTTGATCTTAACAGTGACGGGCAGGAAGAGCATTTGAGACAATTTTTACAATAATCAGACTATACTGTGTACTGAGTGATTCATCGTTAATTAAAAGTGGCACTAGATTTCTAAAAAGGTGGCTGTTGAGGTTGTTCAACATAAATAATGCATTTCTTTTTAAAACCAGAAATAGTTATTTTAGTGAAAAAATTTAGAAATGAGGTCTAAGGTAAAATGGTAGAACACCTTCTTGATGACGGGGGGGGGGTTATTATTAAGAACATATTAAGAACAGAAACAAGAATAAAAAACAAGGATTACCATTCGCAAGTAATTAAGGATGTGAGGTGTACCAGTTTTAGAGAAATGCAACGGCTAGAAATAAAGGGGTGGTGGTGTGTCCAATCAATCTTTGGACAACCGACCTGATTTTGAAAATAAAAAAATATCTTCCCAACGTCCATGACCAAATTTGTAAGAATCTAGCACCACCGCTACTCTCTATAAATGCGTTTAATTAACAATTTCAAGGAATCACCCTGTTCAAGATTTATAAAAAGTTTCACATAACATATTTCAAATAGCTCAAATTTTACTAGCAGGCAATTTCTTTTAGTTTAGTTTAATTACATATTTTTGGTTCGAAAACAGTCGAACTGTAAATTTACAACAATAAAAGCTTTACTATTTGAAATTGTTTTACATTATAATATCACAGGAATAAGAAAAATTCTTCGCCAAAAACGTTCTCGGTAGCGAGAAGAATTGGTCTAATTGCACCTAGCTATACAAAAATAATTAATTAATCAATCAATCAATTCATCAATCGATCCGACAATAATTTAAACTTGTAAGAGCAAAATTCGAAAGAGACTGAAATCAAAATATAATATTTACACGTACGTCCCAAACGTCTTTTTTTTTCATCACATAATGCTTATGTTCGACTATAGAATACGGTCTTCGCTACCATATACAATATACGCAAAATATTAATATAATTAAGATCATTTCTATATTATTCTCTGTAATTGAGTATGCAAAAATTTGAGCGTGCTACAAAACATACAATGCAAAACCAAAAATAAAAGAATTAGCAACAAAAGAGAGCCAAAGTCTGGCGCAAGAGGCTCAGAAAGAGAAATAATGAATCAGATGGTGATTGTCTTCGTAAAGCACATGCACCGAAAGACAGAGACAGAAAGATCATCAATTTTAGCCTTTCTCTCTTTCTAAGCTGACTGCTTGTTCAACTTGGTCACGTTTTTTACTTTTGCATATTTTTTTTACTGACCCTATTCTTATGAAACAAAAAATAAATAATTTATACAATAAAGGTAATTAATGTATTATTTCGCTGTTGGCTGAAATACAAGCACGTTATTAGGTAACGATAAAAAAGGTTATTTTTGATTCGCTCAAATATAAGGGTGCACGATCAATCACAGACATGATCATTATAATGTAGAGCTATTTTGATGACTGCTGACTATAGATGAACACTTTTAGCACAAGTAAAGTTGATTAAAAAAGATCGAGTAGTAATTAAATGTCTCTTGTGATAGTAGTAGTAGTTAGTTGCTTGCTTTTGCATTTTTTTTCTCATTTTTCATTATTATTTTTGTCTACGTACATCATTCCACTTTAATAAACAATATATTAAAAACAGAACAATGTCCTACGTTCATTGATTTAAAAATGTTTCCCCTATAATTGTTGATTGTAACAAAATATGCCAATTTCTTATTTTTTTTTCTTTTAGTTTACAATTTAGTTTATTTAAAACGTTCGGAAAAAAATGTGCTGCAATCGTCATTGATAAACTGTAGGTTATTAAAAAAATGTATATAAATAGTAAATAACTACCTTTTCATCTTTGTCGTATTTACAACTGTGGCTGAAACAGTCTTTTCACGATAACTTAAAAAATGTCACAAAAGCCTTAACTTTTAGATATAGAAATATAAAATAAATTTTTTCTATTGTTTTGGAGAGTAAAATAAAATTACTTTTTCTGAATGAATATACCAAATTCTTTGTTTTTATTTAAAAGAAGAAGTCATGCTGAAGTATGAATAGGAACTTTTCATTTGCCAATATACTTTACAAGAAAAACACTTCTACACATTGAAAATTTTCAGTGTTTCGGGATATAATAAATTCGATTTTTACAAAACTTTGAAAAGTGCAAGTTCTTATTAAAATAATAACCTCTTTAGATGTATCACGTTTAAATTTTAATGGAATAATATTCATATATCAACTCACCTGAAAAATATGATTTTCTTTCAATAAATTCCAAATATGTTTTACGTACTTTTTTAAACTTAAATCAGCCACGGTTGGATAAATAAATTAATTAATAAATAAATAAATAAGTGAATATGTAAGGTGTCGTTTTCTTTCTTTTTGTTGATCGATTACAGGACAAGTATATTTCCGAACGTGAGACTCGATTGGTCGTTCGATCATCATCATCTACTAAATAACGATTTACATAAATATAATACAATAAAAAAATGTACACGGTACATAAATAATAATAATTAATTAATATTTGAACAACACAGTAGTTCGTTCGCATTTTATCTTTTTTTATATTTGTTATTATCATCTTGGCATTTTCTGTCACGTGGAAGAAGTGAATTATAAAACCGGAGGATGAGTTTTCTTCAATTTCTATGTCTCTTTCCCTACCTTTCATTACAAATATGTCCACCGTTTTCTGTCTGTCCGTATGCTTAGCATCGTCGTGTTTTCGTTGATATTCCATCTTTTCCTCTCTCTACGCCACTGGTACGCACGTCAATATTTCTTTTTTTTTTGACGACACTCCCCAACATCATAATCATCATCAGTAGTAGTAGTATGCAGTAATAATAGTTATAATAATTATATTAATCATAGTGGTTTAAATATAATAATAAATCAATTACATATTGGAATCAATGGCTAGAAGAGATAATTTACAAATGTCACCTAAGAGCCGGCTCTGGAGGTCAGATGCCGGGTGGTTTCGGTTTGGGGCTGTTTTGTTGCTGCTGATGATACTGTTGTTGTTGGTGGTGATGATGATGATGTTGTTCAGAGGTGAGATTACGCGATCGCGTAGGCACTATCACCACAGGTGGTAGCAGCAACGTGGGCGCGGGCGGTGGCTGACTCTTCTTGCTGCCACCGGTAAATATTTTAACAGTTCTTTGTAAGAAATCAGTCTTTTGGCTGGAGCCACCGCCACTCGCGGATGCAGAAGAGACTACGGCGTTCGCCGTTAAGGGGGCAACAGCTACAGCAGTAGCGATATCCGAAGGCCTCTTCGTCGACGTCGACGAAGATGACGACATAGAATGACACCGGACCACTAGTGGCGCGTTACCCCCCGACCACTCGCTGCTTGACGAGCTACTACTGCTGCTGCTACTGCTTATACTCCCCAGCAAACCCGCCGAACTCGACCGATACGGGGGAGGCGATTCCGACTCCAAAACCGTCCGGTTCGGAGGCGGTTTTATGCACTTCTGGTATATTTCTGATTCCTGAAATAATAAAGTAACATTATTACCAAAATTTACCCTTTGGTGTTGACACATCATCAACGTAGGTTTTTGATTCAGTTCAGTTCTTTTTCTACAGATTATATCATACAGTAAAATATTTCAAATAAAGAATTTCAATTAAATGCTGAATAAAGATACAGGGTGATTTTTCATTATTTCCGAAAGCATCTTTGAAAATAATAATTGTTTCCTACTGCTTACTTAACCATAACATCACATAACAAAAACATGGTTTACCTGATCTGAATCCCTGATGTGTAACCTGGCATTGGAATAAGGGTGATCCTCCCCATCGGGGAGCGCTATACTGGGCGGCAAATTAATGGCGAAGTCGGTGTTCACGGCCTGCAGTCGAACCTGCCGATCCCTGCTGCTTGCCGCCACCAGGTCTCGCGTCGAAGACGACGTCATCGTCGTAGTGGTCCCACCCCCCGTCGCGCCACCTTCTCCGCCCCCGCTACCGACGCCGCCGTGATGAAGGTGGTGGTGATGATGATGATGATGGTGTCCATGATGATGACCTCTTAACCGGTCTGCCATGCCGCCCACCCCCGTCGCGGCACCAGCACTTACCACCGACAGCATCTGCAATAAAACAAAAATCGTTCTTACTTGTCGACTTCAGTAATTACATAATGACAAAATTTGTTCAAAAATATAATCAAAATATAAAAAACCAACTAAATGTACCTATGTAGTATCTTATCTTTTCTGATTTTGAATATTACCATTCACTTTAACACCACATTTAAAATGCAGATTTCAAACACGAACACTTTTGTTTGTACGAAGTCATGTTTGGGAATTCCCGACAACAAAATAATATGACAACAAATTTGTGACATAATTTTGAAAATGCGAGACGTGTAATAGTGATAAAATATTGTTTTTCATAGAATACTTACTGGTCGTGTTAAGCAAAATTGTTGATAGAAAATTATAAAATTTCAATTGTAGCTTACTAATTGTATTTTTATTTGGAATGCCTTCTGAAAATAGCCAGAATCCAAGGGGCTACCTACACTCATGCATATATCGTGAAAGTAAACTTCTCGGAAAATGAAATTATAAAAACAATTACTACCTCGTTTAATAGTTTATTACATGAAACATCAATATACCAAAAAGATAATTATCTGGCAATTATAAAAGTATCAATTATAGCAGGTTTCATTCAATTAGCGAGGAATATTTAAAATTTTTGCAAACTACGACGCGTCATGTTAACTGCTACGTGAGAATAATGCAAAACTTAATTCAACGTACGTGATAAAGATCATGTATTACAACCTTTGCATATACAAAAACATACACTTTCAATAAAACGGAATACGTGAATTGAGTGCATTATAAAGTACATATTTGAACCAGTCCAAATTGAACAAAAACGGTAGCGTTGTCAGCAGTACACGATGCACAGCACCTACATTATCATACCATAACTTAACTAAGATGGCGACCGAATATTGACATTCATGTACGCTCAACACATCAAAAGATTGGTGAATTTCAATTAAAAATTCCAGTTAAAACGACAACATCTTGGATAACGAGAGTAGCCCTAAGGCACAGTAGTTTAATTAGACGTCTTAATAGACAGGTACTTCAATGTGTTGAAGATATCCTGATAATGCATTTATACAATCTACCAGTTCTGAAATAGATAGTATCCTGTCGAGTCGAAAATATCAAGGCGTGACGATGAGAACTAAAGAGTTTGACATCGCGACAGTTTGTGCAGAAAACTCCCAACACATTTTGCCATAACTTACATACAATGGCTTCATAACTGATCGAGAGCCACGTGACCTCACTTTTTATAACAGATAGTTTATTTATTAATTTGTCAATTATTAGTTGGTGTCGTCTTTATGAATGGCTATTTGTTAAAGACAATAAAATACCGATTCTTGCCTATTTGCCTCACTAATTTATTTATGTGATACCACAAAACATTTTCTAATTTTTTAAACGCCGCCACTGGAATTTGTCGGAAATCGTCTAAGGATATTTGAATTGATTTTGTGCTTCTTGTATTGTTGGCTGCATACACACGGAGGTCATGTGGCTCTGGGTCATTTATGAAGGCACTGAACTCGATCAAATGCATTAGTAAAAGTATTAGACGGTAGTAGTATAAAAAGCATATTTAAGTAACAATAATAATAAAAATAATCGATATATTACTATTTATTTAGCTAATTACATTATAGCGAGTTTAGGTTACTCTGATTTTTACAGTTTCCAACATAATTTAAGTAGTTTTTAAGAGAACACCCGGTACAAAAAATCCGGTAAACATGTCGTATGAATGCATGTTTCGTGTTACCGCACGTGTTAAAATATTTCGAGTTGCGGACAGACAAAACGGTGTATTGAATTTCCGTTTTTTCCTCTCCGCCCTGGAAAAGTTGCAATGTGCAAGCGAATGAAGTAAATAAACCAAGGTTATTTTTACTTCCATGTTTTGCAATAGACCACAACACTTTGTTTAACTATGTGTATGTGTGTGTATGTTAGTGATCTACACACTGCGAAATGAGGTCAGAACATCATAAGTAAATAAATATACACAGTTCAGTTTTGCGATCCATTTCAATAAACGATAAAATATTTACTAACTCCGTTTTACTTCAACTGACGAAAGACCTTTCCTGTTGAGTAAAATAATTCCAAATAATACTAAACCGTGAAAATAGGTGCAGTAAATGTTCCCTATTCACGGTTTCCTTATTCGCGGATGAAAAAATTGCAACCCAGTTCTTGTATTCACGGTTAAAAATTTTATTTTTCGCGGATGCAATCGGTCAACAGAAAAGGATTCGGTACATTTATTAAGGGGATTGATCGCAATAGAACGCTCGTACCCAGTGTGAATTTTTCCAAAAACATGGATTTCTATTCTAAACATTGTGATTTAACGCTGTGAGATAAATATCTAATTTTTGGTACGGTAACAGACAAAGGTTTACACTAACCCGATACGTTTTCGGTTTTCAATAATAAGGTCATTAAAAACTTTTACAAGTGCTTAAAGTTAATGCTTCTTGTAGGACGCATATTTTCAATAGAAATTAAAAATGGCCTTCGACAAGCTTTACAACAAAGCTTTACCTATCTTACTACAAAATTTCAAACCTCTGTTCCAAACACTAAACTCATGATATCTAGAACCGATAAGCATGTTTTTACTCTACGGCGCATGTACTACTGAATCTGAAGTAATAATTAACACATTCGATGCTGTCAGGTACTGAAACAAAAACTAAACATTCTTTATTACACAATAAAAAAAAGCTAAAGGTAATTTTAAATGTATTTGAAAACATCCTTTTTAAACAATGAATTGGAATTTTATCGTTAACCATAAAATTGAGGAAACTAATTTTTGATTATCAAATTATCACAATTAAAATGTCTTACTAGTCGTATATAGCTTCGAATTTTTTATGTTTTTTCAGAACAGAAAACCCTTATATTATATTATTATTGTTACTTATGAAATAAAAGCCAGTATAACATGTATTATTACTTGTACGAATCGTTTGTCTCCTATCTTACAACAACAGCGTCAGTTTATTTAACAACGCGATTGTTTAATGCCCTGACGACGACATGCTGAAAGAGCAATGTCCGAAATTGTCGTTAAAATGCTGCAAACGAGTTGAATTTATTATATTGATATGCACGCGGTCGTGCGGACCCTGCGCCCGCCGCGCGTCTTTTCAACCGGCCCAGCAAACGGTAGCAAGACCGAACGACGAAATATGTACTTTCGGTGCGGTTAATATACGATTAATTTTTTTTATTATGATTCATCACGACACGTCTTTCTCTCTTTCCATTGTCACACTGCAATAACGTACCTATGTACCGTAGTTACGCTTACGAAGTTCGTGTCTCTATGTATATTATAAACACACCCTTCGAACGAGTACAACACACGGATGTACCGGGCCATCCGCGTACCTACAAACACCTTTTATAGGAGCCAAAAAAAAAACATTTTGACCATTTCAGAGATTACGATTTTTTTCATGTTATGGCTCTTGTAAACATATCTCATTGGAATTCATCATCATAAAACTGCTGCTACTTTTCCTTTTTTTCACTCTGGTTGAAACACTCCAGTACCCAGCTGGATTCTAAAAAATGTCATATACCTAAATCTTTAATTTTTTCCCCAAATCGTAATTTTTATCTAATAACCAAAACGGAAAGGTTTAAAAGGTGGTAGTTAAAGATGTGATTTATTTGTAATACATGCATTTAAAATGTAAATACAAAATAAAAAATACCTATTTTTGTCTTGCATTTAGATACTTTTTTGAGAAAAGCATTTTGTATTTTATTTAAAATATTTTTCCAAACGTATTATCTATTTGTAAAATGCAAAATAAATTTTTACCATTAAAAGTTCTGCTAGTATCACCGATTAAACATTATATAAAATAATGAATGAATGTTTCTCACATTGACCATTGAAGGTATTAGAAGCTTAAAGAGGACAGAGACATTCCATGAATGCCTTCTAATTCTATTACTCAAGAGAGCCCAAAAAATTCTAAACTCCTTGGAAATGGATAATCTAAAATATTGAATTGATGTTGTTTTCCGGGTTCAATGTCATGGTCCATGGAATTTTGAAGTTCCAAATTGATATCGCACTTGCCAAATCACCAATTGTCGTACCTTTAGCAAGAAACTACGAAATTCTATGAATTACTAATTTTGAAAAAACAGCCTGCAAAACAATATCGAATTGATATACGTCAGCTGTGTAAAACTGAAAACGACAAGATATTGTGTTGTGCTAATACATGCCTATAATCCAAAATTCTTAGAAAACGATTAGAAAAACTTCACTTATTTCTCTTATTACAATGTGTAAAAGTTCAGAAACAAAATAGAGCTGTAAATATTGATTAATGTTGATTTTATATCAATAACATCACTTGCAATCCTATTTTGTTTGTGATCTTTCACGCTAAACAAACTATTTTGGCATCAGTGCCTTTTTTCCAATTAAAACGGGTGACAAAGGTAAATAAGGAAGCGTATAGAAGAATTATTTGTTGCTGAACTGAGAAAACTATAACATAAAGATAGAAAAACTATATCTCAATTACTTCAAACAGAAAAATATGAATCATACTCCATTATCGCTCCAAACACCACTGTTTGTCTAGAAAAACGCCAATATTTAAAAAATGAGAAAATGCCTGTAAGATTTTCTTAAAAAATATTTTATACTTTGGATTTGAGTGAATGTAGAAAATTAAATAAGTAGTACAAAAACGTATTTATTTAAAAAAAAAAAAAACGCATTTTGAATAGGTCGATTACGAATTATTCATTTTCAGTTAGTTATCTATACACATCTACACATAAAATATAAATAAAATTGAACTGTCCGTCTGTAATATCCAAATAACCTTCTCTGTCTGTCAAGGCATATCAATTTCGATAACGTTTTTTTCCACGAGGGCGATGTGGCGTCAAATAAGGGTTACTGTTTAATAAAATATCATGTTGGAAATCAACTAATCGTAAAACTGATCCCTTTGATGCAAGTGTGGGTATAT